TTCCACCTACGTTTATTTTCACAATAATTTTTACTGCTTCAGAGTCTACTCTTCCCATGACATACCCAAATCATCTCAATCTATTTTCTTTAATTTTATTTACTGTCAAAGCTACGCTTAAATTACCTCTTATATAATCGTTCCTTATCCTATCTTCTCTCATCACTCTTCTTATTCGTCTGAGTATTTTAATCTCTATTACACTGGTTCTCTATTTACTTTTCTGTCTAACGCCGAATACTCCAAACCATAATCCAGTCTCACCACACTTTTGTAGAACTTATGTTTAAGTCTCATTGGAAAGTCTCTAGCCACGTAAAGCACCTGCCGTTTCTCTCCAATAATTAAATAAATTATTTACCTAACCACGCTTAATCCTATGTTTTACATTCTCCTACCAAAACTACCGTTAATTTGCACAAATAATTCTTGGATACTTTAAAATCTCTACCTCGCCACTGCGACCATATTGCGTCACCACTTAATGTCGCCCTCGTTTTTGTTGTTTAATTAACTTTAGTCCCTTTCTTTCAAATGTTACTCTCTATTTCTCAAGCTTACTGTTAACTTATTCCATATTTTCTACTATCGAAGCTACATATCATCTGCAAACACCATGGTGGTAGGTGGAGGTACCTTTTCTCACTTGTTGTCCTTGTGAACATTCGAGATGGAACAATTCACCGAGGTCTTGTTTAAAACTACTCACACTGCTTGAAATAATTGTACATCAGATGTCGACCTGACGTAACCCCATTTTTCGGTTCTTACGACTGATAGAAGTACTATGGGAATATTTCGATCCCCTCCTATAGAGTAGCATGCCATTGGAAACTTTAAGGTAAATTTTTTCTCCCGTACCATATGCCTACTGAAATCAGCCACTTGGGCTTTCCTTCAATAAGCGTTCGAGAGGACCCCCGGTTCGCTAAACCCTTAGCGTCATATGGCCTCCTGTGGTTATTTGTTTTACGTGTTCAACTATAATATTATACTGTAACTAATAAATGTTATACATTCGTATAATTTTGTATTTTACATTTGCGGTCCGGGTACCCCTTGACAAACATAATATATTTAATTTGTGGTCCAATAACCATGTAATAAAATGTTAACAAATATTGTGTACGAAGCAGGAAGATAAAATGTGGTGCAAATACCGACCTCTCGTCTATACCTGCCAGAGGTTCATCATGGTGTTTAAGCTCTAACCTAACCTTGTCTAGAATTTAACATCTTATCCGATTATGGCAAAATTTGACCAGAGACTTTACAGTGAGTCGTCGAAAATAACTTTATTTTTTTCCTGGATTTTAGCCCGATTATGTGCGAATACTTCCAATTAAATAACGAAACAATACTTTGACTTTAATACATCTCTCCGATAATATGTGAATCGAAATTTATTTGGTAATTGACTGCGCCTAATACATCATACGTTCATATCAAAATATACCTAATTGCCTTTACCATTATAATTAGAATGTGAATTGTATTGTTTTATGAACGTCCTATAAAGCAATGCTTTCCATATACAAAATTTGTTTCATATACCAAAGAATTAGAATATGAAAATTTTACATATTTTGGCATTTTAAATACATTTTTAGGTTTTTAAGGCATTTTTTCTTCTTTATACAAACTTCATAGTGTTACCAGGAAATTTGATAGAACTAATTTTAATGTCCTCCTGAAAAATGAAAATTTATATTTCTATTATTAAATTGTGAATTTATCGATTGTACCAGATATAAATGCGATACCGGCTAAAATAAAGAAAACAAGCTATTTATCGAGTTGTAATGTAGTCATATTGCACTGTTGTTTTTCGTACATTTATATACTTAATAAAAAAGTTTTTTTCAATGTTTAAAATAATTTTTAGAGCATTTTTAACCTTTTAGATTTTGAGTGGCATGAGAAATATATATATTTTTTTTTTTTATTTCAGAGCACTGAATTGTATTTTTTAAGTTATTTGTCTTGTTTTTTAGAGCATTTACACCCATACCCTAATTACAATATATCGATATAATGGTTCTTAAGAAGACAATGTGGACTAATCAAAAAAATCTTCAAATAACAAAACCATAAAGGTATACACTTATATTCATAAATATTGTTTACAGTTGTTTAGGACGTTTTCATATAGTTTTACACATACTATTGATAAATCAGGACAGCCAATAAAGAAAATGTGAAGTTTAACCTAACATTTTTTGTAAACCGATTGAAATTTAATTTTGAAAAAACCTAAAGGCCAGCAATGTAAAATTAAGAGAAAGTAGTCGTTCAATTTTTTGAACGACTACTTCATAACGAGGTGGCCATCGAACGATTGAAAACACTGGAAATTCACGATAAGAACTAAACGTTAACCCGAAAACCGATCGAGAACGAATTTACCTGCAACGTTGCCATATAATTTATTTGGCTATCAAACGGTTCAACACGTTGTATTTTTTTAATCGAACGATTGCTTTTTGACATAGACAGTAGCAATATATCAATTCTTAAAATTTATATCAGTTTTTTTTTTTTTTATTTTTTAAAGATACTTTTGTATATTATGATAAAAATCGTTTTATTCATCATGTTTTAAACTGAAGTGTAACGGAAAATAATAATAATAATAATGATATAAATATTATAATATTGTTAAAATAACATATAATTACAGTTAGATAATAGACAGATAATAATAAATAGTGTGTATAATTATTATTTATAATACTGTTGGCTATTGCCCAACATTAAAAATTCTCGTTGACAATTTTATTCCCGTGTCACGACGTGCGGTAAATATCGTTAAAAAATGCCCAACAATATTGTTCTTATATATGATTCTACGCAAAACTAGACTAGTACCGAATATCGTGCCGAATCGTTTGGTAAAGGCGATTTAATATTGCGACGTTGTGAAAGAAAAATATCATTCGTGTTACTAAAAACGCAGTACCTCAATCGTAGTTCACCGAACGAATTGGACGAAGCCGTGCAGACTCGTCGGGAGCTGTGGGTTTTCCTCGAGCACCTCCCGTTCGGCGCGCCGTGTATACTTTAAACAATAGCGGTGGTTAGTTAATTAATTTCGTGCGGATAATCGAATGTTGCCGAAATCCGATTTCTTAACGCGGAAAACCGCGTAAATTAAAACTGTCGGTGCGATGTTTAAACTCTTACGGTAAAGTTGTATACACCGTAAAATATAATTTAATAAATTTAATAAAAGGCGTTAAAAATGTACCTGTAGGTACCTTATATCCTAATATATAATGTATGATTTATAATATTATAGCGCATAAAACAAGTTTATACAGAATAAATACATAAAAAAAAAAAAAAAAAACTCTAAAATACTTTTTATTACTCCAGACTCATAAACGTGACGAAAAAAGAACATTGATCAAAAAAAAAAAAATAATAATAATAAAACCCTGAGATTTTATAATATATATAAAGAAACCTCCGTTATTTTGTGACACATCTATATTATGTTTCTAACTATGCATATTTTGCAATTCCGTGTTTATCGACCGGATACTGCCGGTTATTGTCGCACTAATCGAAACGCAATATCCCCCCCCCACCCATAATACAGCGAATGATAATTAAAAGCGGTTTTCGAAATGAAAAAAAATTATATTAATAAACACAAAATATTATAGCGACGCCTGATCATATTTTTCGTCGAGTGCTTTTGTCGAGATAATTTTAGCGGAGATGGAACAGAGTGTTCACACTCGCATGTTAAAGTAAAAAAAAAATCACGTGAGTTATTCGATTAAATTTAGAGATCAATCCCCCGGAATTTTTTTTTCCCTCGAATTTCTCACGTCAACCCGTGTTCATTAATAATGAAAGTGATAAAAAATATAATGATTTAATCCAAATTAACGAATCTTGTTGCGTAAACAAATGTTAAAGACGAAATCTACACAACATGGGAAATAAGGTACTAGGAAGAATAACGTTTCGGTTTTTAAATTACCCGATTTCTCGGAATTTCCAAATGTAATAGTTAAAGCCGATATTTTCGAATACTTAGTTTTTTCACAACATTCAAGGAGGATTCTGTGACGATACCGACACTGTCGTGTTTCAAACGAGAACCTATATTACAAATTTCATAAATAGACGGAGTATTACTCGAAATACATTTTGGTGTTAACGTGTTCGATTACCGTGAGCCCGTTGACGAGATATTTCACTTTTAAATTTGGGTGGGGCGAGAGTAAAAAAGACCCCGCTCGACGCTCAGTGTCGCCAAACAAATGATACTACCACTCCTCCACTACTCGCCCCCTAACGCAATTTAAAAGCGAAATATCTCGTCAACGGGTTCGCGGAAATCGGACATTTCAACCGAAATAATGCAGACATTTAAAAACAGACACCCGTATTCATATCGCACCCTGTGTACTCATCGATTTTATACGCTTATAGTCGTTAGTAGATTATAAAATATACATATCAAACGTGAAAATATGTTTTTTTTTTTTTTTATTAGGATTATATATTTCGGTGACAGTTCACCAAGATCCCCGCGGTCGTTTAGGTCCCCGTGCAGGTTATCTATAGATCCCGTCGCGGTTAACTAAATAACCGCGGATCAATAATTAGTTCTCTTGTCAACTAATTTCCCGGGGGTAATATAGATCTTCGATGAAACTATTAAGAACAACGTAAAGAAGAGCTGTCCGAGGATAATGGGGACGGGTGCAGCCACTGTTATAAGTAATTTAATGTATACCGGTACGTAACGATACAAACCGTTGCTAACGAAAAAACGATTCTGAACGGAGTGCGGTTGATGGTGTTGCTTTGTCAACAATATACATGTCATATTATGGTAAAATAATTAAATAATAAGCATTAATTTTTGCATTTTCTCGAATAATATTTAATTCGATATTGTACCTATTTTTCCGTTTTTCCTACGTTTTTCTCGGTTTTTCCTATTTATTGGGAAAACTCCTGAGAAAATCAAAAAATTACTCCCCTGAAATACCACCCCAGTCAAATTTCGTTTTGGAAAAAGTGCTATCATTGTAAATCGGAGCGAAATTGCTGATAAAAAAGTTGTTAACAGGAAAAAAAGGCCGTAATATTTTAGATTCTGAGCGGAGTTGGTTTTACAATGATGTTTAATTTTTTTTTTTACGTAAATACTTTTTCTACCAGAAAGCTTCCTACAATTATCAAGTATAGCATTTTTTCTGAAAGAAAATGTTCTCTGGGTGGTACTATAGAAAGGTCATTTTTTGAAATTCTCATTAATGTTTGAGATAATAAAGAAAACCTGGATTTTCAGGTTAGAATGATTGAAAGACTAAAAATAAGGTTGTTATTGTCAACAGTTTTCTATTATTTTTTGTTATTATTAAGTTTTTATTATTTTAAAATGTTTTTTAAACAATCGTTGTTGTCATGGAAACGCACAATGGTGTAAACATTTTACAATAATATAACATGATATATATTGTTGACAAAGCAACACTATCAACTGAACTCCGCTCAGTTTCGTTTTTTTTTCGGTTAGCAACGGTTAAGCGATGCTTGCAGATATACATTAAATTTACATCTGTATCCTACGTTCCCAAGTTCCCACCTACATCAGTGGCAGCACTCACGTGAAAAGTCCGTCTTGTCGTCGTGTTTTTAACTAGGTACATATAATATCTACCTACATTTCGTACATTTTCCCGTTTTTAACCGAGGTTTCCCCTTTGTTTGGAAAACTTCTGAGGAAATCAAAAAATGACCAAGTATCAATCCAATCAGATTTCCTTTCAGAAAAAAGTGCCAAACTCGTAAATCGAAGCAAGATTTTTGATATAAAAGTGGTTGGCAGTTAAAAAAATAAACACTATTGTAAAACCAATACGTTCCTCGCTCCACTCAGAATCTAAAGCAATGATTTCAACTTGTCGTGGTCATGTAATTAGGTACGTTGCAATGTATACACGCACAATTTGTATTCGTATACACGAAATGTACTCGTTACTTGCGAGGGCGGTGTTGTTCACATTTTGATATTTGTAAACTCATTTGTGCGTGTAAACCGAATTTCTCTCCAACAGTATACAAAAACTGAAATCGATAGTAAAATAAAAATGACGAACCCAGTATGTTTTTAAGAATCGTGAAAAATCCGCTGCGGTCAACGTCGTCGCTACCCCGAGCAATGTTTTTTTCACGGATATTGTTGGTTAGGTACAGTCGACCCGCGGTCGATTAATTCTCTTTTTCGAAATTCCTTGTGATAATTATGTTTTATTTGACGGTAAATTCAAAACTTAATCATAGTATGCTATTTACGAACGCCGTCTGTCTTGGCGTTTTAGTATTGAACGAAAAATCAAACCAAAATATTTTACTACAGTAACAACAACAATGTGTACCTAACCTCAGTTATGATTTATGTGACGTTTGATGCGTTTGTAAATATTGGGTGTTCATAAAACCTCATATTAAATTTAAATTCCGTTTGACAACAACACTACCTACAATGCGCATACAATACTCGTCGTATATTCGTATTTACATACGTCGTTGTTTTTTTTTTTTTTTTATTAAAATCCGAATTACCATTCAGGCTGGCGGAAAGCACGTACCCATCTATAAATATAAAAATTAAATCGTTTTAAAGTTGTTGTAGCTAACTATTTTAAGTAGTTCAAACAAACAAAGCTAAATAATTTCCTCCGTCTCGCGGTTTAGCGTTCCCCGTACCTACTGGTCTAAAAACTTTAAGCGATTATAATAATATTATAAATTAGACGTAGTAGTACTACTACTATAGTTTGTAACAAAACTCGTATAGAACCCGTGTAGAAAAAAAATTGATATCAACTGTTTTCACGAAAAAAAAAAAATAATAATAATAATAATAACACAGTATATTATATTCTTCATTCGAAATTGAATTAATAATATAAAAAAAGTAGGCACTTACACTTTGAAATAATTTCCATCCGAAAAAAGTATAGTAAAAAAAAAAAATTATTTTAAGCGTGTCGTATACCTCGCTATAATACTCGCGTATACCTATTACACAGACGTGCAACGATGTCGAAAATATTATTATCTACTGTATGGCAGATAGTTTTTATTTTTATTTTCACGATAACGACTACAGTAACGGAACAATATTATTATTTTCAAAAAAGTTATCATCTGTTCGTAAATTACACAGTTTTAAACAACGTAGAAACGATCCGCAGCGGATGGTATTCGGGTACCAGCTACTTAACTTACACAGAAAATGCGAGTAATCCTGTCCAATGGGCTACGGGCGATATCGGATCCCGTTTTATATAAGTATACTCGTAAATTTAGTCGTATACATTCTGAGCGTAACGAGTAATATATTTGTTTCGCAATAATTTTTTATTTAATTTTTTTAAGAGATAATCCAAAATGTATATTTTACGTTATACCGATTTTTTTTCTATATACATCCGATAACCACGATTCGAAATTGTTTTGAAACTATGAGCCGATATTCCAAATTATCCGATATCTTTAAAAAATCCGATATTCGATTTTTACTGATATCTATCATTTAAATTACGTTGTTAGTGTACTTTTGTTAGTAACGTGTTTATTAAACTAAAACTTTTTTTTTTTTCGAAAAATATCGGGTCTGATAACGGTTTAAAAAGAAAAAAAATTTCCCATAATCGATATCTGATCATACCAATGCTCAACACTAATTTTTAGTTTTCAAAAAAAATTCAAAATTCTACCAGAAATCTTGTTCCAATTTTAGATTCTGAGCGAAGAGACGAATGTATTGATTTTACAATGATGTTTATTCTTATTTTTTATTTTTCTATAAACAACTTTGCTACTAGAAATTATGCTCCAATTTTCTGAAAGACTATTTTCCTATTATGGTACTATAAGGAAATCATTTTTTTTGATTTTCCCAGAGGTTTTCTTAGAAAATTGAAGAACCGGAGAAAAACTTTGGAAAACTTGAAAATTTACGAAATGTATTAATTTCAGGTTGTAAATATTACGGCCTTTCAAAACATGTAAAATCGAACTCCGCTCAGAATCGTTTTTCGATAGTAATGATTGATAGTTGCGTACAGACATACATTAAATTTTCTCTTTACCTTACCAACTTCTCATCTACACCCATCCATCGTGCGAAATATGTCCGTCTGTTTTTTCAAGTGTATACTTTCATCTTTCAGAAAATAAATTTCGTTTAGCTTTTCCTAGGTGATTAAAAACGGATGGTTCCATTTAAGGAAATTTTAGTTCTACTGCGCATGCAGTCCACAAGAGTTAAATCCTTGAACACTGGCTCAACGTGTGCATTTTGTTTCGTATCTTCCTAAAAAAAAAACCTTCCTCCAACTAAATCCATCCGACTGAAATACTTCGTGTTTCTATCTGAGCGAGATGCACTGAATCAAAAAAGTTATGCGCCGTAAGAAGACGATAAAAAAAATATATCGTTTCAACTTTGACTCTTTAAAATATCATACAGGATACAGGATACAGCGTTGTACAACTTGGAAAATATAATAGGAAGTGCTGCAGTCGTGACTGACGGGATACGTAAAAGTTAGTAACTGTTATTGTTTTCTGAGCGAATATGCGACACATAATTTGTTAAATTGTTAAGTAGACATTAATAATAGCTACCTATAACACTATAGTATCGCGGTGTTTTGTTTCTATACATAACTTTCGAACAATATTATAGTGGTCGAGATAATGTTTGACACTTCAGAAAAGTGTCGTTTATTAGCGTGCGTAGCGTGTTTTCTGAAAGTAAACGTTGCTTAGTAGGTGCGCATAAGGTACTCGTGTTTTTGATTTTCCGTGTGGTTTTCTCAATCGTTTTTAAGTGATAACAATGTGTGTCACGGTATTCGTATCACGGCCGAGCAACCCATCACGATTATATCGTCATAAATAATAATAATAATAATAATAATATCGAATTTATAGGTAAAAAGACGGGCACATACTTCGCGCGATGGATGGTCCACTGTCATAGGCGGGAAGTTGGGAACGCAGGATACGTGGGGGAATTCAGTTAATATCTGTACGCAACGATAAACCGTTGGTAGCGAAAAACGATTCCGAACCGAGTTTCTTTTGTGCGTGTAACACGTAAATTATTCCGTTTCTCCCCCCCCCCTCCCGATTATTATGAAAACCGCTCGGAAAATCAAAAAAAATTCACCCCGCTTAAGTACCAATTGGATAAAATTTCCCTTCGGAAAACTCGCTGTACACACTCGATACACCGGATACGCCAGATTTCCGGTGGAAAAAACGCTCGCAGAAAAAAAAAAACACCCGAAATTCGGAAACATAAAATGTATTCGCATCGTACGGACGTGACAATTAGAACGTTAACAAAACAACATTTAATATTCACGCGCGCCATGCGGTTATTAATCCGCGATTCGTTTTTTTCCCGCATCATTTTCGTTTTGGAACACACAATATTGGTGTCGCACAGTGTACAGCCCCAATCGTACGTTTATAATAATATTACAATCGACGATGTTATACCGTATTGGATTCGATTCAACGCGATCCGTCGGTAACCGGTGTAGTTACCCATCCGCTAAAATAATCCCGCGGGCGTTTTCGTCGGTTACCGCCGTCGGTACGACTATTACGGTATTTAGGTATTACGCGCGCATTGGTGGTTGTAGTTTTCAACAGTAATTATGTTAATGCACTTACTGTGACGGAGCTCGGTAAAACGGTGCAATAATAATTGTAATAATATGTTCCGGTCGTACGCGCGAGATTGTTGTGATATCAAATCGATTGTTGGTGAACCAACGAAAACGATATTGTCGTTTCGGTACAAACGCGGAGTCGCAATCCGAGTTAAAATATCGGTTTTAACGGTCGGCGGGGGCGGGCAATCGACCGAGGGCGGCGAATTTCCCGTCGAACCGACACATGTTATAGAGGCGAAACAAAATTAAAACACTCTTTACGTCGTTTGTTTTTTTTTTTTTTTTTCCGTTTACGTATTCACGCTTTTTGTTGCGCGTCACGATCGGAGATAATGTTATACTGGTGACACGGCGAGCTGTGATAAGAGCACGATAATACGCGGTCACCGAATACGCGCGTTCGATAACAACTGTTGATGACTAGCGCTAATTACGCCGCCGCGATTTGGGATGTCTGTTTAACGATCCGTATCAGACGCATCGGTTTACTGACCGCCGCCGCGTGGAGCGCGTCGTAATAAAAAATTTTCCTATCGGTCAAAAGCCGAAGAAACTACAGCGGTCTCGTTATCACGCCTTATTGTTCGCGCACCCGGTATGTGTTTAATCGCGTTGTAAAACCCCCTTATCGTATTACGCGGAATCGCTCTGCACCGACCGATTCGTCCGTTATCGGGAGACTAAAATATACGCGTGTTACGCAGAAATGTCGTTGTTTTCCGTTTTAAAGAGGTTTTCGCCACATAAGGGGGTCCGTTTTAAAGGGTCCGTTTTACAAGCGTACATTTCGACGTACGAATTCGACATTCGCGACGACAGTGAGCATAATCGCATTAAAGACCGGGGCTCCGTACGAATTGTTAATTTTTAATTTTTCTCTTTTCTCTCGAAATAAATTGCGTATTTTAATTGTCCGTAATTAAAACGAAAAGTCAAATCTTGTTGCTTTTTATCAGCGTTACAAATGTTACAATATACATTTAATGACTTGACAGTTGACTGTAATATGTCCGTGCGAATTATACGCCGCTCTCCGACATCTCACTACAAAACCGTCAGTTTAAATTATATCTGTTGCAAATAATATTTATGGTATTAGTATAACGTAACACCTACGTTTATTTTACACAAACGGCGCGTTTATGAGATATTCGCTCGGCAATAAAAGCCGTAGTTTTCATCAAACTTTTAAATGGGGACCGAGCGAAGAAACGTAGACAAATTTATTAATATTAACGATCTCGGAGGGCGCCGATTAGAATTATTGTGTGACACTCTTTCGTACACGGCGCGTCCCGTATTGTCGTGTTCAATATTCGGAGACGACCAATAACCGTTATGGTTATAATAATCGATATTTTCTATGACCAATGAGCGCCGATTGTCGAGATACTATCATTATTATTATTGTGTTAACGGTAATATAATTTAAACGTACCCACTAGATCTGAGAATGTTGACCGTGTAAATTTAGTACTTCCTATATTAGGTAGTAGTGTTCGTTGATTGCTATTCGTAAACGGGAAGTTTTATAATATTTACAGAATTTGTAAAACGATTTTTTATATTTTTCGTTTTATGTGTAGGTCATGTGAGATAGATGCGGCCGAGACTAGGATTGAGAGAATTGTGGCAATATAGACTCTTACTGATAATTCCCTAATAACATTTGCATAGGGCGGCAATATATATTTTGCCCTGCAAGGGCGGCACTGATTGTAATACTGAGTGTTGTTCTTCGTTATACCGTATCGTGTTAAAATATACGACTATATACGCGCAAGGATTAGAAAATTTGACTTTAACATGAAATTCGATAAACAATATTAAAACCATGGCCACCAGTCGCGTATGCCGGAGTAATGACATTATAATATACTCGTAGGTTTATGATATTGATATTTTAAAAAGCCGACCATGTTTCACCCGTTGGGTAGAGGCCGGTGTAGTAGGCGGGATGTTTGAAAAGTTTACTGGATATCGCGGGGTGTGCAATTCAATTAATTTACCGAATGAAACCAAAACAGTAGACGTGTATTGATATTGTAATTGTTATTCGTGTAGTTTGGATTCTGAGCGATTCTGGGCGATGTTTATTATTATTTATTTTTTTTATCTCTAAACGATATTTCTATTAGAAATCTTACTCTGATTTTGAAGTGTAGTATCTGTTCTGAAATTAAATTTTATTCGGGCGACACTTTAAGGAAGTCATTTTTGGATTTTCCAAACGATTTTTATAATAATCGGGGAAACCCGGGAAGTAACGTAGGAAAAACTGGAAAATGTTCGAAATTTATTATTTTCAATTTTATTTTACGTCGTGATTCAGTTTTAAATATTTGTGAATACTCGACATTTTTACAGAAAACTCGTATTTGAACTTTTTTAAACGTGGTCAAATTTTCAAAACATTTTAGCTATTTTTGAGCTATTTATAGATATTTTAATCTTACGTATTTTTATTCGGTAGGTACTCTGTGGATACAATTGTTTGACCAAACAGAAATGCTTGAAAATTCAACGGGAATTTCGTTCTAAATCGTACTCTTTGGTAAAAAGAAAAAGAAAAATATTGAGTGCAATGTAGAATTTTGTTTTAAAAGAATTTGAGTGTCAAATTTTGACGAAAATCGTTAATATGTATACGGCTTTTCGAAACATATACATCCGAACTCCGCTCAGAATCGTTTTTCGTTAGCATCGTTAGAATCGTTGCATACAGATAAATATTAAATTCCCCTTCATACATCCTGTATTCCTAAATTCTCACCTACAACGCTATAGTGGCCCACTCATCGTGCGCAGTAAATAATATGTACGTCTTTTTTCTCCCGTATGTATAGCCATATTGGCAAAATAAGAAATTATTACAACGTGTGTAGGAATTTGTTGTCACTTTGTCAGTTTTGAGGTTTCTGAACACCCGAAGATTAGAACACCTTATAGAACTCCTCATTTTGTCCGACCTTCATCATAGTTACTGATACGTATAGTTACGGTTGTTGATTGGGTTGATAAGGGGTTATAATATTATTCGTAACTTTATTATTGTTGTTAAAGAGTGTGAATAGGATTATTAATTATTTAAGTACGAGTACCTATTAAATGTAAGTTCAGACTAGCTAACACTAAAACAGACGGGCATGCTTAGCACAATGGGGGCAGTGTTGTAGGTGAGAAGTTGAGAAGGTAGGATATCGAGTGTGCGAATTTGATTTATATCTGTACGCTGCACGCAACGATCAATCATTACTCATTAATCACTACCAACGAAAAACGATTCGGGGCAAAGTTTCTTTTACACATGTACGTTTTTCCTGCGTTTTTTTCCCCGATTTTTCCCAATTATAATAAAAAAACCACCCGGAAAATCGAATGACGACCTTTAAAAAGTACCAATTAGATAATATTTTCTTTTAGAATAAGTGCAACATTAGATACTACGGAAAAAAATAAACACCATTGTAAAACCAATAAATTCCTCGCTACGTTCCAAATCTAAAATATAGGTACCAAAATATAATTACTTTAAGAATGTTAAAAACTTCCCGTCAACTATTTACAAATGTTAAGATATTTTAGAAATCCGGAACTTTCCACGTTCGCATAGTAGTCCTTGCTAAATTGTTTTAAATTTGTATATATAGAAAAACTATTGGGAAACTATACATTTTGTTCAAATAAAATACCACCGAGCGAAAAATGCACATCTGCTAAGGTCGGTGCGAATAATAAATTTAGAACAGTATTACAAATCAAAAAAGTGTTTCGCAAGAAAAAAAAAAACCACTTTAGTAAAATCATTATCGTTACACACAAAATCCTAAATAATAATAATGTTCATAATATTAGCAATTATGAACGTACCAGGTGATCCATTAAAGTGAATACACTCATTAACTCTGAAAGTATTAACTTTTTACGGAATTTGTTTTTCAGAACGTTTAACAAACAAGCTACTCTATAATTTTATAATTGTGTTATTTTTTTTCACCCTCATTTTCGGGGATAAAACCACTACCTACTTTTGATTTTCAAATAGCAACCTACATTAAAAATTCCATAAATAAATGGAGTATTAGTTAAAATAAATTTAAGTATTGAAATTTTTGATTTCTGTCGATTCGTTGACGAGATATTCCACATTTAAGTTTAGGTTGGAGGAGAGTAGTGGTGCAGTATTAACGTGTCGCGCGCCGTACCGCCACGCAAATGATACTCCGGCCGTAATAAATTCATATAGTATTCATAATAAAAAATGTTAAATGTATGAAAAAAAATGGCGTTAAAACGTAATATAAGAAAACAGTCGAACACTGTTATTTATGCATCTTGGAGTTTATTGATTTAAATAAATGTCAAGATTGAAAAAAAGTGCAAAAAATTTTCCTCCCCGGCGGGGAATCGAACCCCGGTCTCCCGCGTGACAGGCGGGGATACTTACCACTATACTACCGAGGACTACGTGAAGACGATCATAATATTAAATATTTAGACAGTTACGCACGTTATTTGATTTAAAACTGTACTATTTTACAATAGTTATTATTTGTTGTATTTCTATTATTTAACACTATTATGCGTTAGTTGTTTAATCGTTGAACTAACGTGTAACACCGCGTGTTAATGTATTATTATGCGAAATGTTTTCGTCGTCTAGAACAACCGGTTTTGAATAAAATCGTGTAAGTGCCTCAGGAATGTAAAATTGAATCGAGTAGGTAGCCGAAAATCGGCTATTCGATAATACAACTGCACAATAATCGATAATATTACAGACTATAATTGATAATATTAATCGTGCCTGTATAACCGGTCGAACAGTCGAACACACTGTATATATGTATATACACGGTGTATACACAGGTATTTAACATTTTTAAATTTACCTACAAACTATTTTCGACAATCGCGCGCCTAACCGGGGGATGCGTGTACGTTATTGTACAATACAATTCGATTGAAAAACAAGGCGTTAATGCGGTGGACCGCACCTACACGCGTCGTTCTGATTTCCATTTGTTTTGTCGATTTTGTCGACGACGCGCCATCTCATTTGGCACTACTGTCGAATAAATATACGGGAAATATAATCGGTAATGTCACCAGTGGGTTGCGGTATCCGCGGGCGTGGTATCGCGATGATATTTACCGCGGTTATGAGCCTATACTTACGAGTTACAACACTACTAGTGCGCGCATTGGGCATACACCGCGTATACGGTGTAGTAAAATAATAAATAATAACAACAATGACTGGTGTTGATACGTCGCACACAATAATGTAGGTACACTATTTTGTAGTACGTAACTACGTATTACGCGATTTAACGGGATAAACAAGTGTTATAAGTATTGTGAACACGCGGGATGGTGAAACAGTTGAGATATTGGCGTGACAACGATAATAATAATTACCTGTCGACAGAACAGAGGTCTGAAATAATAATAAATAAGAGGTGGGTGCATATTCAAATTAATTACGAAAACGGATAGTCAATTGTTCTTTTTTTTTTTTTTCCCACCGTTTTCACTTCGTTTCGTTTTTGGACTGTAACGATTTCCTTACATTTCCGGATATGGTTGGCGCGTTCAGGAAGTCGTTTTTTGATTTTTCTACCAGTGTTCGTAATGTCTAGGAGAAAACGCTACGGAAAACCACGAAAACGTTTACCAACATAGCGGTTCGATTATTTACAATTTTTATTGTAACCCGTGCGTACGTATCGATTGGAAACAAACCGATTAGGCGCATCGAAAGACGGACCTTCGGAAAAGTCGCTTCATGCCGCCCACACTCGATCGAGTCCCGTGTGTAACGACGAAAATCGTTGCGGTTTACACGCGCGGGGTGCGTCGTATCTGATTGTATCGAAACACGCGTTTTACTACGAGATGGCTACGATGCGACGGACTACGGACAGCCCAAAGCGCGTGACCGCTCGGCGAGGCGCGCCGTTGGTTTCGGCACTCGCGGCTTTCGGAAGTTCACCACGCGGGGGGTGGGGACACAGTCTCGATCGCAGGTTCGCTGTGTTACAGAAACAACTCGCGGAGTTTGTCTGGGTTGTACGTGTTACGGACCGGAATCGATTGAACGTAACGAAATGAACCCATTAAGCCGCCGGTGGAAATTATGCGCACGCGGCCCGCCTGCGTGCGGCCGTGGAAAACTTTCGGAACCTATAGCGAAACGCGAAAAGAAGTTACCGGGATCCGATTGGGCTGTGCGAGCGTCGTCTTACAAACTGCCCGGCGTCCGGCTCGCGTCGGTGACCCCTACTCGCGTGGAACTCTAGACCGGGTCTATATAGCAATTGCGTTATTTTTATTATTATTTTTTCTAATCGGTTACGGTTGTATTTGATTCTTATTTTAAATTTGTTTTGTTCCACTGTTGACCACGTTACCGTGCCGTTTCGTTTGTTTGGTTCAATCGATCGAATCATAATCGCCTCACTACCGTTATTTTTATACCCGTGTAGACCCTTCGTTTCGTTCGAAATCGGAAACGTTAATTGAATTCGCAACAAAAACAAAAACTAATAAATTAAACATAAACTGTAACCGAACCGCTAAACATTTTATTATAATGAGTATCACCCTTGAGATTAATAACACGAATTTCCAAGTAGGTCACTGCCATGTATCGGTAAGTGTGTGTACGAGCAATCCCAAGATGATTTTATTTCGTGCGTGCGTTTGTTATTTTAGATTAGAGAACAATACTTCGATAACTAACTTTACTTTGTCTACATCAAATATGCGCATAGATAAACTATCAGAATATTATATTATTATGTTCCGCAAACGTTACCGATGATTTACGTTAAAACTGCAGATTTCGTTTAGAACAAGAGAGTATTGTGTTTATGGTTTAGATTATTTAGTATTAAAATGTTCTACGACAAAATATGCCAATAAAGTATTCTAGGACGAAATTACCCGCGTAAATATTAATTCAAAACTTCAACTTTTATTATAAAAGTTAAATAAACCTAAAATATTAGTATAATACAATCATTATTAACATTTATAGAACACAAAACGAATTAATTAAAAAAATATTATTTGTCAAAAATTAGAAAAAAAAAAAAAAATGTATTACAATACCAAGTTATGTGCTATTGATTTTAAATATTTATTTTGATTTGTTTCATCGTATCCTTTCACAACAGCATTTCATAATTATCATTCAATTCTAACATTTTATACATTAAAATTATAAAAAGTATTGATTAAATAACTCAACGCAAGACTCATTAGCTCACGAGACGCGTTGTAGGTTCGTTCGATATTCGTTTGATATTTTGTTTGTTATTATGTTTCTCAAATGCAATAAACCTTATTATATTACAATGTACTAATCACGCGTATGACGAGTTTGGGTACGACGCACTCTGTAACTACTCGACCGATTTTGGTAAAACAATACTCAATGTGTGTGTCCAACTTGAAAAATAGAATGGGGCGTCTTTAACGTTCCATTCTCGATCCAGTGAGAGGTTTTTTTTTTTAGATATTTTTGATACGAATATCTAATTGTTTTTGTAAATTTATTATTTATTTTTTTATTTTTTTTTTTTTTTATTCGTGGTTGTTACCTTAGTGAGTACAGATGAAATTCGGTTGTCACTGACAAGAAAACTATTATACTACTATTATTGTTATTATTATTTACACTATTATCTAGCAACAGCAAATCATTGCCGGGTCAGCTAGTATACATTATAAAGCAAACGTGTTACTTGATTTTATTGCGTTTTTTCGGTGTTTGAAAAAATTGAAATAAGAATGGCGTGATGGTTCCGAGCGTAATACCATTGGATACCATATTTGGATACGCGGTACCCGTTTACATTGGTTTTGATCCAACTATATTTGAACGAAAACTGGTGATATTCATTCGACCCGGTTGTTAGGCTGAAATCCGCTAACGTTTAAATATAAATAAATTATTGAATAATTGAATAATTTGTAGTTTTTTGTAATTTCTGAATAGTTGAATAATTTGTTAATTATTGTTTTCGTATTATACACTATTTTTCGAATGTAAAATGCCAACGGCACTTGCCCCCGGTTCCCATACTCTTTGTAATAATTTCGTAATATATCTTGATTTGTAGTTTATACTCTACCCGGGTGAAATGTCACCGATTTCTGTATTATAATAACGCGTTAAAATATAATTATTATTATTATTTCAACAAAGAATATTATACGAGTACCCACTACTTATATATAAATATTATATTTTTAAACCATAAGCTTTTCGTTCTTTATAAGTAACTTATTCATAAATAACTTAAAATTTATATTCATTATTATTCACGAAGTTTTTAATAATAATTATTGTTGTGGTGACCGAAATTAAAAAAAACAAAAACAAGAATATATTATTATAATAATACTTTCGCAGAGATTTTACGTTAAAGATTATATTGACTCTACAATATGTTGTATAACGAAAAAAATAAAATAATAACAATAATAACTCTCGAGATTTTACTTATCTCGCGATGTTGTTTATATTATTATTAGAAAATATATGAATGATTTAATATTGCATTTGATTTACAATTTAAAATAATAATAACCATCTATTTATCTCGTATTTTTTATTATTTTTTTCACAATATTCACACCGTGTTTATTTTTTTTACCTAATACATTTAGAATACTGCTATAATATTATTATAATATCATATTATTTTGATTTAGATGCTTTTTAATACGGACGCTTTTACGTCTGGGTACAAACGCGTTTTAATAATATAATAAAATGGAATTTTAAAGTTTCTATCGTGGCTGTATATTGATTACAAATTGGAATGAACAAGTTTGAAGTTTAAACGGAATGACGTGGGTAACGACAGTAACGTGCCCGGAGATTTCCAACGAGGGGGAATTTAGCAAATATTAGGTAATCGAAAATAAATCGTAGAATATTTTTATATTTACCCTGTACGATAATGGAAATTTAAAACATCCGCGGATGCTGAAAAACAATTTTTAATCAATACATCGGAGTTTTCCCGTGTAACATTGGCGAAACATACGTACATTTCATTAATTTCAAGTTTAGATTACTCGGTTAATACTCAGTATATTTGTTGTTTAAAAAATCCAATAAGATTGGTGGAGGGGGGGGGGGTTGGAGTATTATCCCCAAACTTCCGTCTACCCGCTAGGTCAGGTGATTCAGGCTAGTTTTTTTTTTTTTCGATACGTATCGAACCGATTTCGTTGTTAAATTTATATTCGTATTCATTAACAATATATATATATGTGCATAACTATTGTTGTGTAACACGAATAAAACACAATGTAAAAATAAATAATAAAGTTTCATTCGACCAGTGTACCTATATGAATTAAATACAATTATGAATGTTCAAATTTATTACTAGTCGGCTAAACCTACGAGCACGGCGGGCTTAAAACAGAAAAATAATTTTCGTTTTGTTTTTGATTTTGTTTACATTTTTGTTTTTGTTTTTGTTTTTTTTTCGGTTCCGATTTTTGATTAATATCACCGCGGTATCGGTTTCGATTTTAAATACCGCGGTGTTACATATATTTCGGTTTCGGTTTTATACATCGGTATCAACCGTAAAATCGTTTTGCTCCACTAGTGTTTATTGACCACCCTGACAATTTACCGAGGTGTCACGGGATCGGATGTCGCTGGCGCGTCGGTATATTGACGGTATTAAAAATATAGCAGGCTCGTTATTATTATTCCTATTTTTGTCAAAATCAATTCAATCTGTGTTTTTCGCAACTGTTCGGACTTATTAATGCCGGGTAAAAAAATTTAAATATTTAACTAATATATTTCGTAGATTTTCTCGTTTTTCCTCAGTTTTTTTTTTTTCGATTTTTAACATTTGATGAGAAAACTCCTGAGAAAATCGAAAAATAACCTACTTAAAGTACCCTCCCCCACTAAACAATTTATTTTCAGAAAATGGTCTACATCGTATACATCGGAGTAAGCTTTCTAGTAGAATTTTTGTACACAGTATAAAAAAGAAATAAACATCTTTTTAAAACCAATACATTTTTCGCTCCAC